CCCGGCCTTCCGTAAAGCAACCAAGAGCTGGCTGTTCCGACAGGCCTGGGGCTGTTGATTAATATCCAGCCCCACTTGATTGAATGGATGATATCTTATTTTTTAAATAATTGTATTTTTAATATTTTTATGTTTTTACTTTTGTTGTGAGCCGTCCAGAGTCCGTAGGGAGTGGGAGGCATACAAATTTTATTAAAGTTGCAACGTTGCAATAAAAAAGAAGAACTGGGAAGATAGGAAATATCCTGAAAAAGGACAGGGTGGATATTGGCTGAATGGAGAGCAGCCTTATTGACTTGCCTTCTGAAAGATGGGTGATTTTGGACAGAACATGCCATCATAATCACAGGTTTTTTTTTAAAAGGCAAGCCCACTTCTTCAGGTCATTTTTTAAGAAATATGCCTATTGGCTCAGGAAGATTGTCCACCCATATGATAGCCATTATCATCTATACTACTCATACTTCAGTTAAAGGGACCATACTTGAACAATGACAAGCAATTGGCTAGGTAGGGAGATTAAAAATATCACTGATGAAAGTAATGGCAAACCATGCACGCATTATTGCCAATATACGTCTATGTATATAGTCACTAAGGGACATAGTGGCTCAGTGGCTAAGAAACTGAGCTCATAGATCAGAAAAGTCGGCAGTTTGGCAGTTCAAATCCCTAGCACTGTGTAATGGAGTGAGCTCCCGTTACTTGTCCCAGCTTCTGCCAATTTAGCAGTTTGAAAGCATGTAAAAAAATGCAAGTAGAAAAATAGGAACCACCTTTGGTGGGAAGTTAATAGCGTTCCATGCGCCTTCAATGTTTAGTCATGCCAGCCACATGATCACAGAGACGTCTTCGGACAGTGCTGGCTCTTCAGCTTTGAAAGGGAGATGAGCACCACCCCCTAGAGTCAGAAATGACTAGCACAAATGTGTGAGGGGAACCTTTACCTTTATACAGTCACTGGGAATCAAGTTCAGCTCAAAGATATTGCTCCTTTTATTTTGAGTCAACTCTTCCCTCTCAAAATGGAAAAGTTAGATGTGAAAGGCAATAAGGATAGGACTACTGCATACCTTGCACTGGACCATTTCAAAAGCTGTAGTACAAAACATTTGGTGCACAACTAACAGGGGAACGTATGCTAGCACTCAAGCAATAGTGACTGATTAAGCTTATGGAAAGCATCAAATCACCAGGGAAACAAAATCTTTACTAAATTGTTCTTTCATCTCTTCTACATCAGCTTGAGGTAAAGGAAGCTTGCTTTTGACACCAGAGTTATATTTTCCCCCTCACATATACATTCTATGATTTTCTAAAATTCACAGAGTTAAACAGCTGAGATATGTTTAAATAAACAGGTCTTTTGAAATACATGTACAAATCCTAAGAGAGGACCAAAAATGGACATACTATTTCTGAATGCTTAAACTGAATCCAACGTTGTGTCACACATTGATTGATTAATCTAGTACTTACTGAAACTGTTAGTGCAGTAACATCCTGAGTGTTAATTGTTGGGTCATTCTGTCTCTCTTGATAGACAATGTGATACTGAGAAATAGCACCATTAGGAGAAGTTGGGCTGGTCCAATTTAGGAACAGAGAATGAGCGCTGATCGCTTGTGCTGAGGGAGCTTTCAAGCCTGTTGGTGGAGCTTCTAGGGTCTGCGTTGGAGACCATGAACTATTCACAGAACCTTTGGAATTCTGAGCCTTGACACGGTATTCATACTCAGTAAATGGCAGAAGAGCATCTGTAGCATCAATAAATTCTAAAGTGCCTTCAGACCAGATGAACACAAGCCTTTCCTCTTGAGTCCCCACAGGACGTCTGAAAACAGACCCAAAAGATTTGATGGTTATTGGCAAGTTCAAATATGATAACGGGATCCTGAAATACACATTTCCAAACTACCACAATCTAGTATAGTTTCTCTGATAAATGTTAATGCTGATCTACAAGATTGACTAAGTGCTCCTTATGTCCAAAACATTGACCTTTTCCTGAATTCTCCTTTTCATAGAAAAGAAAAGAAATAAGTGATCATTGCAAGCTCCTTTTAAGAGTAACATGGAAAAATGTTTGAAATGTTACCAGAAGAATTATGTATTAATTATTTTGGTATTTTATTCATGAATGTCATTTAGGTGAGAGTTTAATATATAGGAGGAAAGTATACAATGTGCACATTGAGATGCACACATTAATAATCTGTTTTAGGGGTTTTCTAATTAAGAATAAAAATGCTGAATTACTGTGCACACAAAGTCATTAAATAGAATTAAGACAAGAATCTCAAAGTTTATCTGATCTAGTGTAAAAGTGAGTAATGATTTGAGTTCTACAATCTTGGACTTTTGAAAGTATTTTCATTAAATTCAGTTCATTTACATGATGAGGACTAGAATAATGATTTAAAAAATGTAAGGTAAATTAAAAAAAACCTCATGTTTTTTCTGCTTGCCACTGAGAGCTGATTCCATGTATACGTGTATTTAGCATACATTTTAGTGCAAGGTCTTATCATTTTGATTATAAAAATCAGTCATTGAAGAAAAGTGAAAAAAAATTATTTTAAGTACCACAAGCCGCTTTTTAATGCTAAGCAGTTCTGCTTGCACTGAACAGCATTTCACTTTAAAAAAATAGCTGTTTGCTGAATTTATAAATTAATGTTTAGCAATATGGGGAATCTGTAAGAAACAGCTTCCCTAAACTGAAATATCAAAAATGTCACCAACTGTGAGCTTTTCCACAAGCAAAAGCTGAACAATGTAGCCTGGTTAAAGTGTTTAGATCTTATTACTGCTGAATATTTAATGAAAGAAACTTATGCTTAGGCAAATAGTTCCATCTGTAGTGCTAAAAAGACAGCATATCTTGTATGAATAAACTGTGAACAGAAGTGTTTGAGCAATCTCTAATCATTTCAAAAGGCTGAGTATTTAGAATTCAACTGCTCATTTAAGTGGAAGTTTTTCTCCTAATACAGCAAGCAATAAAAGGAGAAAGATGCCATTTTAAAGAAATGTCAGTTGCCTCTGCTTCTGCTTCTACTTCTACGCTTTGCTTGCCTTGCCACTTACTCCTAAGATATGTAGTTGGATTTCCAATTTTTACTATGGTAAACCTGCACTGCCAGTAACATAGCCAGTATATGTGAAGTGTTTATTCTGAAAATAGAAGAGCTGTTTTTTTTTAAAAAAAAATTAAAATGGAAGATGTCATTCTTTGAGTCAGTGTGTGAAGTTTAATTTTGTGGTTTTTGCATAGCTATGGATATAGCTTTTTTTCATGTGACAATTGCGGCTCATTATAGAAGTCTCTCCCTTGGCCTCTGCACATTCAGTCTTAGGTCGGAAAAGAAGCTTGGTGAGTGTAATTGGCAAACTCCATGCATGTAATGAAATGTAGTGAGGAGGTGGATCCCCATGGGGCAGGGGATGCATACCAGAGGAGCCCCTCCCTGATATTTCAGTGGGGTAGATTTATACAATTGGGTATCATCAGCATATTGATTATACCTCCTCCCATGCCAGTGGATATGCTTACCCATGGTCACATGTAAATGGTAAATAGGAGAGGAGAATGCACTTTTATATTCACTCACTTTACAAATGCTGTAACTTTAATTAAAATGGTAAGTGTGATAGAAATGGCTGACACTAATATATGGAAACATCCTGAAGTGCAGACAGAAAGTGGTTCTAATAATCAAAAATCTCTCGTAGTCTTTGCATTATTCTTTACAGTCTGGAGAAACTCTTGAACTCCATTCCCATCTTTTAACCATTCAGTGCCTGACTATTTCTCCCCTCTATAGAACAACTAAATATTGCTAAAGGGAAAAACCTTCTTCTAACCACTTTGAATATAAACTATTCTTCTAGCCACTGTTCAATATAGAATCAAGTCAACCTAATGATAACATGCTTTTAAATGTTATCATTACATTGATTTTATTTTGTATTTATTCTGTAATAAAGTCTCTGTGTATAAGCTTGCTTTACATAGGGAAATACACAGCACTCACATAAATACACGCAGATATACACAGGTTTATGGTTCAGAAATAAATGGATAATAAATATTGCCATGGTTTTATTCCAATTAAGACTCTAGGCTTTTGGGGGAAAGATTTGTGATGGGGAAGGAGAGAGAGATATCATGAAGGTTAGCATAGAAGAAGCTGAAACCCCTTGCAAATTTAGATCCTTCAGTTTTAATGAAAAACTGCCTACTCACTTGCTGGTTAAATAAATTTAGTTTAATGTATAAATGACAATAAGGCAGGGGAGCAAAAGATGAAACAGAAATTATATGCAAAACATCATCTAAAAATATTGGAGGATTTTTGTTGTAGCAGTCTAAGGCTGTATATGAACACGGCATGAAAAAAGTGCTGTGCTTACATTCCATTTCTGTCCTTACATATTTCTGATTTTTTTTCCATAGCTATCTGAGAAAGATGTGATATTGTTGTTGTCTAAGCACATTTAAACTTCAGCTGAAATAACTGCCAAGTGATTCATGCCTATGTAGGTGAATATAACGATTGTATCTGGAGCCCCAGTGCGCCATTTTCATTTCACTTTAAATAAAAAACAAAATGTATCTATGTCAGTCAGTGCCCTTCTGCTGTACTCCGAGGTATCAAACAGGCTACAATTATGATTGTGAAGTGATTGTGTCACATTGGAGGAAGGTTTATTGCTTTCGAGTCTGCTAGGCAGTAACACATTCTGTTTCATATTACTCTTTATATCATTGTTTGGCTGTGACTAGAATAATCAAATGCCATCAAATGCTGTCAAATTCAATTTACAATATTTTCCACTTTCTGCATTATATTTCCTGCTTTCCCTTTCCCTGGCTGCTATGGAATTGCTACTATAATCATCCGTGTTGTTTACAAAATCAGCAGAATGAAAATAATATTTTGAACTATGAAAGATACTTTATTTCTTTTTATTCAAAATTGGGGCTTAATCTATTTGGTCATACAATTAGCATAGAAAAGGGAAATTATTCCAAATTGAGCAGCATTTTAGAAACTACTAGCAAGTTGGTTAAAAAAAACATACTAACAGCAACTGCTTTTTTAGAATCAATTGCTCCTTGACAAATAGTACAGAGCCAGCCAAATCAAGTTTGACCAAGTTCCTTTGTCACTATGAAGATCTCGCAACTTCAAACATCAGCCTGAATTCTGTCTTCCTTGCTAAGCCATTGTCATTGGCATTTATCACCTAGCCTAATGAGCAATTTTTCTTATTCTGTCATTCCTTCCTTCAACTCCATGGGCCCATCATGTTTCCATAGGAATGATGATTTTCAGGCTAATGCCTAGTTCTTCCTATGGTGTTTATTTTCTTCAAACTGCTTTTCACCCCTTCTCCCCCTTCCCTCTTAGCTTGCCATCTATCTACATTTATTGCTTTGGATTCTACAGAGTTCTTTTCCAAATAAATTCCCCAACATACCAGCTTTTCTTCCTTGAACAATTGAAAATTCTTATCAATTACATTTTCTTAATCAATGAAAACAGAAGGCTTACTGCCAGAACCCCGATACTGTTTATCATAGAGGTCTGGACAAGCAAGCCATGTGCAAGTTTAAAATATTCTAGAAACATCTACACAATACTAGTGACTTTTTCTTCCAATTGGAGTTTGTTGAACTTGGTGGATAAAACACCAAAGTATATTTGATCATAACGAATGCTGACAAAAGAATTACGTTGCACAAGAAAGCCAGAAGAGTTTTAATGCATATGCAGATTCTGCATCCACCTTGATGAATATTTGAAAAAGCTGTTTGATCCATCTGCATTCAGAAGGTTCATTGATTTGGTTTAAATGTTCTTTTCACTACGCTAAAAATGCAATTCATAGTCAAGGCTCAAAACAGAAATAATGTTAAAATACTCTTTTCATAACAGCCACAATGATATAATCTTTCTTTCATAATCACTGTGTCTTTCTGGAGCACCTTGGGCATTTATTTGGGTGTTTTGCCTACTGCTTAGGCCTATTTGGCTCAGTGGCTAAGATGCTTAGCTTGTTGATCAGAAAGGTTGGTAGTTTGACGGTTTGAATCCCTAGCACCGCGTAACTGAGTGAGATCTGGTTACTTGTCCCAGCTTCTGCCAACCTAGCAGTTCAAAAGCATGTAAAAATGCAAGTAGAACATCTTTGGTGGGAAGGTAACAGCGTTCCATGCACCTTTGGCATTTCGTCATGCTGGCCATATGACCATGGAGATGTCTTCGGACAGCCGCTGGCTCTTCGGCTTTGAAACGGAGATGAGAACCGCCCCTAGAGTCAGGAATGACTAGCACATATATATGAGGGGAACCTTTACATTTTACCTAGGCCTACCCATCTTGAAAAAATCCCTCACCTTCACAGAAAGCTTCCACTACAAAGTGAGGGCTATAATATTTAATATTTAAAAATATAAAACTTCAAGAAATACCTGTAAATAAAGTAGTTTCTAATTATCCCATTGGGTTTTTTAGGAGGTATCCATTTCACATCTATATATGTTGGTCCAATGGCTGAAATGACAGGAGGACTCAAATCTTCAGGAAAGGCTTCAGCAGTGGTTGCATATACTTGTTCACCAACTCCACAGTCATCTAGAAGAATACAAACCAGACCTTAGGAATCATATTGTCTTTCAAGCATGCAAAGTAGTCTTCTAAATGTCAGAGTCAAGAACTAATATCTCTTAATGAAAATATGTCTCTTTCAAATCATTGTAACCATTGTAATAAAAAATTAAATATATGGGTTCTTGAGGCTTCTAGTAGAAAGTCCAGACACAATTATTTTATTTATCTATTAAATTTCTACATTACCTGGCTCATCTCTGGGCAGTTAACACCATTCATCAGAGAGTTCAGTAAATAAGAAAGGAAAGTATACCATTCATAGCATCTGTCACGCCCCACTCCACTCCATAATTAGGAAAGAAGACTAAGAGACTCCATGGGTTGGAAATCCAAAGTACTTTTAC